GGTGGGGGGCCTGTGGCGATGGCCATAGGTGGGTGTTGATGGGGGGCGTTTCCAGGGCCAGTCACTCAAGCTGAGCACAAGAAGCGCCACATTGAATCCAGCCCTCCGGTGTCGTGCGCTGCTGTCCTGGGCCTTTCCTCAGCCGTGGGGCTGCGCCAGCTGCTCTGCATCTGCACTCTGCTGCGCTGCACACAGGCTGTTGCTCTCAGCAGGTAGGGCCCGGCTATCTTCGTTGCTGCCCATACGACCCCCATCGGACTGCTTGCACTGCATCACCAAGCCGCCCCCCCCTCCGTCACTACAACCAGGTGTGCTTCTTCGCCCACACTCCAGAGGAGCTGAGGCGGCCGCCACGCAAGGCTGTCGCCTCCGCTGCCGCCAACCCCACAACCAGCAGCAGCGGCCGCGCCAGCTCCGGAATGCTGGACACCCCCCAGCCCTGCGAGTGCTGGGCGCCCGGCTGCGGCCCCTCACCCGCCGCGTCGCCCGCCAACCACTGCAGCGACCTGTCCCCCTCGCCGCCCGCCGCCGATTTTGATGCCTACGGCGGTTCAAACCTGTCGCCGCCCCCTGGCTCCTCGGCGGTGGCAGTGACGGCGGCCATGACGGCGCAGCACCGCGAGGTGGTGGCCGCAGCGCAGCAGCACCAGCAGCAGGCGGCGGCGGCAGCTCATGCGTATCAGGCCATGATCTGGCACTCAGACGCAGCAACAGCTGCTGCAAATGCCGCAGCCGTGGCAGCTGCGGCCGCCGCATGCTCTGGTACAGGGGCGTACGACGAGAGCGCGTCTTTCGCAGAGGGTGGGTGCCACGATGGCGCAGGCTACCACCCGGGGGACCTCGCCCTGCCGTCTCCCGCGGTGCGCCCCGGCGGCTGCCAGCTGGGGCCTCTGGTGCCAGGGTTCCTCGGCAGCAGCAGCGGGGCGCCGCTGCTGTGCGTAGAGAGCGCCAACGGGCCGAACCCCAGATGTGACACTGCACAGCTGAGCAGCCGCGAGCAGCAGCTGGGCAAAGGTCACGGCGGCGGCAGCAGCTTTGGACTGGCGATGGCGCCTGCCCCTGTGGATGGGCACGCGGCCGGACCAGGCGCGGTCCAGCAGGGGGAACGCCGCCACGCACAGGTCGTGCGCGCGCTCGAGTCACTCGATGTGTCGAATGAGGGCCCCAGGGGCTACGGCCCCGGATGTGGCGGCCCTGGGTATCCCCCCACCAGCCCGCCGGCCCAGGCCTTGTACGCGGCAGCGTCCGGGCCCATGGCTACCGGTGGCGGCAGTGGCGTTGGCGGCGGCGGCGGCGGCAGCGGCAGCGCCTCGGTCGCGTGGCCGCCGCTGGTGGGAGGCCTGCGGTTTGTGCCGGGTGCGGCCGGCGCATTTGGCGGCTGCGTTGCGTGGCCCTGCGCGAGCTACGGCGCCTGAACGCGTCCTGTGCCTTTGAGCCCCACCAACCGCACGGCGGCTGGCAGCCCTAGCAAAGCGCGCTCTTGTCACAGTACACGCGAATTCCCCTCCATTCCCTCTCTTTCGCACGCTTGCCTATCATCAAGGGGATTCTGCAGTGTGCTGGTGCTGGCAGTGGACAGTGTTGGGAGTGCTCTTATTACCCGTGTGAAGCTCTGAATCCCAAGGGGGCTGCCTCATCCCTGGCACTCACCTCCCCCTGCTTGGTTCTTTATGTACAACAAGGAAGCCGGATTCAACAGCACCTGAGCATTCCAAGCCGTGACATGGCCGCGCTGTGGTCGGCTTTGCCTTCCTGGCAGCTTGGCACGCGGCCTCACCCCTCGCCAACTGCATGCATTCCCCCGTGCACCACGCACTTCAGCCCTGGACAGCAGTGATCAGCTCTCAAAGGGTCCTCGGATACTGCCCCTGGTGCTAGGCGCACCACTGGCGGCCAGGTGATAGGGAGCCAACCCTCCTGGCGGTGTTTCAAACTGTTGAGATGGGCCGCATGCGTTTGCATCAATCTGTAGGCCCACTGGTTTGCAATGAGTGATCAGGGCCGCTGATTGCCAGAGGTGAGGCGTTTCCCATCATCGGGTGTGCATAATCAGGTGAGCGCCCCAGTCCTGGTTTGTCAGGGCGCCCCTTCCCGTACCACCCTTCAATTATGGCGTTTCCATCTCCCGCGTTTCACACCGTGCGCAAAAGAGTGCCAGGTCACCTGGGCGCGGCCAGGGCGGTTGCCAGCACGTGTTGGCGCCGTCCAGCCCCGTATGCCCTGGTGCATTGCCTGGAGCAGGAGCCTCTGATGCATTGCGTTGAACGCCATCATCAGCTGCGCTGGCAGCGTTGGGCGCCGGCAACACCTTTTAACGCCTTGTTCAACAAACACACAAACAAAGGTGGCGCTGGCACTACCCCCGTGGAAAGCTTGGCTTTCATTGCATTGCTCAAAAGCCTCCAAGCGAGTATGCCCGTGCGCCGCAATGGTCACTTGTGCTGACCACCCTCTCTCGCCCATGTGGCGCTCATGCCACCTGGTGCGAGCGGAATTCCACGCATGCACCTGACAATCAGTCCCAAGGCCATTTCCCCACTGGCTGGCAAATTCGTGGCTTGGTGTTGGCGGGGACGTGCCGGGGCCATCTCCTCTATCTCTGGCGATGAGAAGTTTCGTCCGTCCCCTTGGGACTCCTGTTGTGCATCGCGCAAAGGCACGGCCTCAAGCCGGTCAAGGCGCAGCCCACAACCACCACGATAACATCTGCTAAGCGCGGGGTGCAGCGCCCGTCACACGCTTGCAGTGCGTCCGCAACCCACAAGCACCCGTGGGCGTTCACACGTATGCACGTGCCCAGGGCCAGGCCTTCCGGCTCCGGCTGCTCAATTCGTGTTGGCATCCCTCATCCGTTCACAATGCCGCGCATGGAGCTACCCTTTCCAACTGAGTGGAGCCAGCCGGGAACGCCCTGCACCATTCCCGTCCGCCCCTGGCGGTCAGCAACAACACCACTCTGATCTCCTTGCGCCAGGACAATCATTCGGTGCGAACCTTTGCCCGCACGGGCACACCTCACACGCGGCCGCGCTCTCGCCCAGTCACGCACAGTGTACATGTGATGCGTGTGTGCGAAGCGGTGGTGTATCATGCGGTTCAGGATTGGAAGACCTGCCTACAATGGGTGCCGCGACCACGAGCAAGCGTGAGGGGCAGCTGGGCCGGCCGCCGCACCGATCTTTCCGAGCCCGCTGCGGATTACAGTGCATCGCACGACACACAGGGGTGCCTTGGGCGCTGTGATAAGTGAGTTTACAGTGCGGCGCCAAATCCCCATGCGCGCCGAGCGCCAGACAGCCAGCTGCTGGCCTGCTTCAGAACACACATGCGACTTGCTGCGAATGCACTTTCAATGCACGCCCGCTGCCGCATCCTCTCATGCACATGTGCGCGTGCACACCTGCACTCACGCTGCGTGGCCGTCCTGCCCCAATGTCGCTGAATGTACGCTGGGCCGCAATGGCAGGGCGATGTACGCCCGGTTTCGACACTGGCCACCGGCTCCGTGACAGGATGCCTTAGTCGCCCTCTCACGCCTCCAGTCCCGACCACGACAGCGCTGCCGCCATCCCTGGTGTTTGCGCGGCCACCATGCACGTCGAACATGCACAAATACCACAAACCACACTCGTCATCATTGCCTGGCGCCATCAGCTGTCCACGCCTTGCGTTTGGCGCTGTGGCAGACCCAGAGGGTGCATCTGTAACACTGCACATCGCGCCTGATGGGTGGGCCTGTTTGTGGCAGACAAGTAGGTGCGTGGCAAGCGTTGCATGGATCGCATGCGTGCGCATGTCGTCATGGTGGGCAGAGACAGGGACTGACGCTGCCCAGCTCAGCTGGGTACGGCCAGGGGCGTGAGCAGTGCGGAGGGTTCACACGATGGTGGGAGCTGCGCTGTGGCCGATGGCTCCCGGCGCATCAGGCAGAGCCGTGTGCTGCCCGGAGGACCCACGCATGAGGTGCCCTTGGCGGGAGACTCACAAGCACAGGCAGACATGCACGCTGCATAGAGGTGACTGTCAGCACGTGATCCGTGGATGAAGTAGGATAGAAGTATACCTCAACTACCTTGGAGTCGTAGTCGGCCGTCACCGTCTCACCGGGGATCAAGGAACAGGTGTGCGGCAAGCAGCGGAGTGCACAAAGCGATGGGGTACCCCTGCCTGTACCCGTTCCACCGGGACTCGTATCACAAAATCACCTGGGCGCGAAGGCGAGTGAAAATTGCGTACAATCTTGGATACGGTAATGCATGCTGTTCAAGGTCCACCGGCTGACCCGCAACAGTCAGCGGGCGCCCTGGCCATCGGCCGCCTTGGGCATCGGCCAACATCAGCGGCTCTAGGCCTGAAACAGCGTCTCGCGGGGCATGAACTCGGGGCACTCACCGCAGGACCCAAGTGCTGTCGTTGCGGGTACACCTCTCAGCCAGTGGTACTTGATCTCGAGCACCGCGATCTGGCCGAGCCGCACACGCGCTTGCCTTTTTGTGTGATCGCGTAAGACTGCCTGTTGCACTCATTTAACATTTCCATGTACGAACATCCTTCCAGAACACAATCATCATCGCTCTGGCACAACTCTGCTCGCTGAATCAGACTGCTCGACGGTGCCCAGCGTGTGGAACCCCATCACGGCATATCACGAGCCCCAGACAAGGGCCTGCCGTTCCACGCGGCGGCTGCTGCAGATTCAGCAAAGTGCAGAAGTCTGCGCGGTGCAGCAGTCGCGCAGCCTTGCCTCCCTGCCGCACAGGCGTACTCCGCAGCGCTGAGCCAATCGCAGGCACACCGGCCCCGCGGGGACGCGGCGGCGGTGCCCTTGGGCAGCCATGGCGGACGTGGTGCAGGGGCAGACGGTAAAGCAGCTGCAGCTGGCGTCTGTGAAGCGGACGCTGGAGATGTTTGCGAGCAACCACGGGCAGCCCATCCCTCTGGATGAGGAGAGGTGAGCGGGGCTTTCTCCCAGGGCCACCATGCCGACTGCCTAACCCTGTGACGTGCGGTCGTGGGGCGCCGTGCACGCTGTTTTGTGCGGCTTGCGGGGCGTGTGCGGCTTGCCGGTTTCATGATTTCAGGCCCCACGCTGTGCCGCAACCCACATTCTGACTACCTGCTGCTGCTGCTACCGCCGCCGCTGCTGCTGCAATTGCAGCCAACGCATCAAGCTCGCCTGCAAGGTGGGCGTAGGCATGGCGGCCGAGCACGGCTAGCCGCCGCGGCAGGCGCTGAACCGGTGCCGCTGACACGCCATGTGGCGCTCGTGCGCCGGTACTGCCAAACTGCCGTCCGCATGACGTGCCAGCACGACATGTGGCTGGAAGGCCGCCACGGAGATGATGCCAATGCGTCATGTCCCCACCAAGGCGCCACTCTCTGGCGCGCTCACCGCGCGAGACTAGCCAAACATCTCGCCACCACCATTCACCCCTGCACGGCGCCGCGACCCGTTTACCTGGGCCAAGCCCACCCTGCTTGCCCCCCAAATTCCCATGCCCAGATCAAGGACGAGTATGCATCAGCGCAGCACCTGTCGGCACCCACCCCAGGCTCGGCGCCGGCCCCGGTTTCAGGCGCCGTGTCGGCGAGCGCACGCACGGCAGGGCCGGCGGCTGCAGCGAACGAGCAGGACGCGCCAGTGGTCGAGTCTCGCACGGCCACGGCGCGGCTCATAGAGAGCATCCCCGTCAAGGACAGGTGCAGCTGCTGGGGATTGCTTGGGCCGTGATAATGCCAGGGGTGTGGCCGCACTGCTTGGGCGCTTCGGCAGCGGGAGTGGGTTGCCCGGGGCTCCAGGTGAGCCGGCAGCAGCGCGCTCGCGTGACGCCCCCCCCCCCCGCACTGCCCGCGCGGATCGCACGGCAGGCGGCAGGCGGCGGCCGAGGCGGGCGGCGGTGCTGGCTCGGGCGGCGCGCTCATCCCCTACGCCGCGCAGGGCGGCCCCGGTGCGGGCGGCACACCCGGCCCGTCCTCCCAGCGCGCCATCATGGAGGTCATCCGCGACAAGGGCCACAGCAGCGCCGCCGTCAGCCGCCGCCTGGGCAGCAAGTGGCCGCGGCCCGCGTGGCATGCGCCGTGGCGGCTGTACCGCGTGATCTCTGGCCACCTGGGCTGGGTGCGGTCTGTTGCGTTTGACCCCAGCAACGAGTGGTTTGCCACAGGCAGCAGCGACCGCACCATCAAGCTGTGGGACCTGGCCAGTGGGCAGCTCAAGCTCACGCTCACGGGCCACATAGAGCAGGTGCGAGCTGTGGTTGTTGGCACTTGTGTTTTTGTTGTGTGCACATGTGTGAGTGCAAGGGCAAGCGGAAGTAGTCTTGATGGGGCCGTGGAGGACTGTGGGGAGGTGAGGGTCAAACCTGGAAGGCGCGCTCATGAAAGGGCCGTGATAGGTGCGGGCTAACGGCTGTTCCTCTGGCCGGAAGCGGCGCTGCTCAGCCCCCCACAACCCTACCCTGGCGCACCCAATCAATCGCCCCCTTCCCCCCCTTCCCCCTGAAGGTGACGGGCCTGGCTGTGAGTTCGCGCCACCCCTACATGTTCTCAGCCGGCCTGGACAAACAGGTGGGGCCCAGGGGGCGCACCGCAGCCCCTCCCCTAGCGTGTGGGGGTGTGCAGGGTGCTGCGGGTGCGCAGGGGGAGGATGAGTGCATGGGGTGTGTTGTGAGTGGCCGTTGTTTAGGTTGGACAATCAGGCTGAGGGCTGGGCCAGGAAATGCGTGTGGGGCAATGTGGTCGTGTTGCTCGCCTGTCATTGCAGCGGCTCGATCGCAGTGCTCGCCGTAGGCCTTTGCTGTGCATGGTCAGCGCGGTGCTGCTTTCCCTGTCCCGCTCTTCAGGTCAAGTGTTGGGACCTGGAGCACAACAAGGTGCGCACGTGCGTGTGATTTTGTGTGTGGGGGAGGTGGGGAGGGTTGGCAGAGTCAAGGGGGGCATCAGGTAGGTGTGCATGATGGCGGTCGGGGCGCCAATACGCACCACTCTGCCTCAGCAGAGTGTGAGGGTCGTGTCTCATGGGATGCGGTGGTCGGCCGTATGCCGCTCCCGGGCACAGGGGCCAATAGGCACAGCCCCACAAGCGCCGCTCGCCCTACACCCCTCCTCCACCACCCCCCTCCCG